GAAAGAGTGCAAAGTCAAGGGGGAGACCAGAGCTGCACACGGGAAGTCGAGTTAAGCCGCTGTGAGTTTGGAGGGGACAAGATCGTGGGGCCCTGTGACAGCCGAGAAGGGTTCTGACCTAGTGCTTGAGACACAGCGGTCCAGTACGCTGCAGGTGAAGTGACTCTGTGCTCCGGAGAGCAGAGAGCTGGCCTCTGGTCCCAGCATCCGGCCGACAGGTGCAGGGGCGTGAAAACACACGGATGAGGTGACACGGGAAGAGTCAGGGCAGAAGGAACCCCAAGGAAGGACGGACAGACCCCCAAACCCCAAAGGTGGACTTGAGTCCCAGGTGAGAGGCTGTTAAGTCGCTGAACCCGCAAGCACAGCACGTAAAAGAACTGGAGGCCATCTGCATGGGCTCCAGCCCCATCCCTAACCCCAGAACTGGTGTGGGAGAAGCAAAGGAAGGATGACCCTAAGAGAGGCAGGGAGGCGGGACCTGAGGCCGAGGGCCTCCGCAGTCAGCAGGGGGTGGGAGCTGGACTGGGGGCCTACAAGGCCAGAGCAACTTCAAAGACAGTTTCTAAAAACCACCGCTTAAGACACTAACGGGGTCAGATAGGAGGTTTTAGAAAGTGGAACTGCAAATGCTGCCGGGAGACGTGAGGTAACACGTTCACGAGAACAGCTGGAAGGTCCAGCAAGCTTTACAACCAAGGAGAGGAAAGTGATGGAAAAGAGGGAAAAGGGAGGATTTTAAGGGCAGATGCCAAAATTTTAGCAGAAAGGAGGCACACAGGGCAGCGAAGGCGGCCTTGAGCCACCGCTGCTGCGAATCTTAGACAGTGGGGCTGGGTCGTCCGGGTGTTGTCTGTTCCAGCAAAAACAAAGGAAGGGGCTCTGGGGGGACTTAAAACTTAAGAACTGTCAGGAAGGGAAAAAAAGAAACTGACAAAAAAGAATAAGAAATAAAAATTAAAAATAAAACCAGACAAAACCGAAACCTTCAGTAAGAACTGTGAACACTTCGTGTGGTGTCGATTCCAGGTCACCCGAGGGTTTCAAGCCAAGCACTTGTTACCTCTGCTCTAGGACCTGGGACTACACGCCTGCAGTGCATACAGACAGGCATCTGTACATACAGAAAAGTGCAACTCCCAGCCTCCGATTACACAATCCGTTAGAAATGCAAAACCAGCGCAAAACAGCTGCAGGCTTAGTATAAGCTCATTGACGCAGGAGTCCTCCGAGAAGCAAGATTAGAGGTGATTAGATTAGTCAGAAGAGGTTTCAGCCTTGAGTCTGGTCTCAAGCTGAGAAACAAAGGCAGTTCCAGACAGGGCAAGGGAGAGCAACGATGTTGGGGTGCGGGTGGAGGTCTTCCGAAAGGCCGACGGTGCCGCTGGGAGCAGCCGGAAGGAGGTGAAAGGCAGGGGGTTAGATCAGAGGCAGGGAGACAGGGTAACTTGATGAGAGATGTAAGAAGTCCCACCTGTGAAATACATGTTTATAACTACATGTTAACCTGTCATTTACAAAATAAATACTGTCCTAGGAGCATACGTTGTTTTCAGAGCTAGAAAAACGTGTAACAAAATTGCTAGCCACTGTCTGCAAGTATCTAACTAATGCAGGGGATAAACATGTTCAGAATAGAAACCGTGTAAAAGGTGTACAAATACTCTAAAAAAATAATGTAAGAATGCTCACCTGGAGGGCCTGGTGGGCCTTGTATTCCTGGGAAGCCTAAAAGGAGGAAGAGAGAGTGGCACAAACTGAGCCTGTTTCACTTGTGGTTTATGTTGTGAACTTCTGGGCTCGTGGGTACCCACGGTCCCGGGGACAGGGAGCTCTGAACTTGGGGAGATGCCGCGCCCCTGTCACTGCAGAGAGGCAGGGAGATGGGCTCCTGGAAACCCAGTGGGATCGCAAAAGATGAACTTGAATAGCACTCGGTCACCACGTGGTCCTGCATGGCGCTCAGGTGTTATCAAAACGTGCATGAGTGCAGGACAAAAATGGAAAAAAGAAAGGACGAGAGAAAAGAAGGGAGGAGGGAGGAGGGAAAGAAAGAGGGAAGGATCTTACCTTTGGGGCCTGGCTCCCCTTTCAACCCTGGAGCCCCTGGGTACCCCCGCTCTCCCTTCTCTCCCAAGGGCCCTGTGCCGATCACCTGAATCACAGAAGAAAAGATCATTGCATGGAGTGGCAGGGGACTGTGCTGTATATTACAGCACAGACGAAGAAACAAACATATGTTTTATTATTTCAAGACATGTGAAAGTAAAGAAGGAATAGTGGTGGAAGAGGAAGGGGAGAGGGGAGGGAGGGGAAGAGAGTGGGGACGGGGAGAGTCCAGAAAACATAAAATGGATATTCGGTATTGCCCTCCTTGCGGAGAACGCCAGGCAGCTCTGCTTCCTTGTAATCATCTGCTTGGCAGGACCTTTACCAGTGAAGCCAACTTACAAACATATTAATTCTGAGGTTTGGGGTATGGAATTTCTCAAAGTCCACGCAAGCTGTAAGAAGAACAGTCTCCTTTAAAGAGTATTATCGGAAAAACTGCCTTAAATTTCCTCAGGCAATACGTAACAGGAACACTCACATTTTTTTTTTTTTTATTGGAAGAGGTTCTATGCTTCACTCTTTTAAATGGTCAAAAGCGGGCACTTCTTTAAGGTCCTCGCGATATGGGGCAAGAAGCAGGCACCGGGGCCCTCACTAAAAAGGGGTGAACCAGTTCACCCCAATTCTGAGTAGCTGAAATTGGAAGACAAGGACCATGCCGAATATTTGCCTATTACCCTTAAGATGCAACTCCTCTGCGGCAATTAAATGATGGGTATTATTAAGGTCTGCTGATGAGGTTAAGGTAAAAAAAGATTATTCAAAGGCAGCTGCTGGGTTAGAAATATGGGAAATGGAATCATCTATCGTATGAGGTGTTAAACGCATAAGGAGGTCCCATAATACTTTGATCTGGTAATCCTGTTTCCGGAAATGCAGCCTAAGGAAGGATTACTCAAATCCCTCACCTAACACACACAGACACACACAGGCACGTACAAACATTCACTACCACGTTGTACCCATGTAAGAGGGCAGCAAACAAGAGAACGGTCATATTTCACTGTTTCCAAAAAGAATTGGGGCAAAATGGTTACAACAATTATCGCACAACGCTCTGAAAATGACCATTTGAAGATAACTTGAAAACGTGAAGAATGTTCATTTTTAAAAAGAAAAAATGTTACGTACATTGGATTGCAAGTATATAAAATATGTATACGGACAAGGAATCAAAGGTTATTTGCAAAAAAATAAAAATTGTTTTGCTAAGACAGTCAGATCATGGATGATCTGTTTCTCTGAGTAGCATTTTCCTTAACAGACCATTATTTTTTTAAGTTTCAAAATGTGTTGCTAATACTCTCATCCATGTGCAACTCTTTTAATTTTAGTGGTCAAAGATATGCAGAAATTGCCCAGATACAATAACAAGTAAATACCAAATGCCACACAATACAAAATATAAATGATCGGTTCAAATTCTGTGTACCCCCTACATCAAAACGTAATTCTAGGAACACTGTGGAGCATGTGGCCTAGCTGATAGGCCAGCCCGTCTCTCTCTTTCCGTCTTTTCAAACGATCTCACAGACAGCAAATGTTACTGTTACTCACAATTCCAGGTGGGCCAGGAGGGCCTGCTTCACCTTTGTCTCCCTACAAAAGAAAAATAACTTTACTTGTATTTCTTAATTATAAAGGTTGCTTTGCCAGCAGCAGGGTTGAACTTTTTTTTTCCTAGAAAAATAGATTGTGCCCACTGTACACTAACAGGATTGTCCTCTCCTTAGAATCTTTCACTGTGATTAGTCTAAAGTGCTCTGCAACTATTACAACCAAAATCCATACATCTCCCCTTGCTTTGCATAAGTGTGACATCCGAAAATTGAGATTTCTACAAAACATAAACTGAAGCCTAATTATCCACATTACAAAAGAGCTCATGCTTCTCAGAGAACCTCAACAGAAACATCTGCAAGTTGAATTCGTATATGGTGGTTTTTCTTCTTTTTGTTTTCTTTTCTTTTTGGCCATACCTTGTGGCATACAGGGTCTTAGCTCCCCAGCCAGGGATCAAACCCATGCCCCTGGCAGTGGAAGTGCGGAGTCTCAACCACTGGACTGCCCGGGAAATCCGTACAGTGGTTTTTCAATACAACAACAACAAAAAATGAAATACAATGATATGAAAGCTCAGGGTGGCTAAAAGTATTTTCTTAAAGAAATCATTTTATTTGAGGATTTTGGTGTAAGATTGTCTAACTCTGCATTGGAAGTCATAATAAAAGGTTACTTATGGTTTTTCCTTTCCCCTTAAAATCCAGCATGACTGGAAAACATTGGATGGATAAATTCTCATCACTCTGAGGCTTAACTTAACCCCTATTAGATGAAAAACTCAAAGAAATCAATCCTTTTGTATATCATGTTCTTATATAAGTATCATAACAACACTTTTAAACACTTTTTTTTTTTTTTTTGCAGTACGCGGGCCTCTCACTGTTGTGGCCTCTCCCGTTGCACAGCACAGGCTCCGGACGCGCAGGCTCAGCGGCCATGGCTCACGGGCCCAGCCGCTCCGTGGCATGTGGGATCCTCCTGGACCGGGGCACGAACCCGAATCCCCTGCATCGGCAGGCGGACTCTCAACCACTGCACCACCAGGGAAGCCCCCATAACAACACTTTTAAATGTCCTGATACATGCACATTATTTCACAAATGCACATTTTTCCCCTTTCTTTTCTTTTTTTTTCCTTTTAAGCTAAGGCTTTAAAGTCAGGTGTTAAACCAGAATTAGACGTTTTGATTTTTCTAATCTGAATAAAAGAAGAGATTTTAGAAATATCTATGGGAGCTTAAAAATATCTTAGCTAGGGCTTCCCTGGTGGCGCAGTGGTTGAGAGTCCGCCTGCCGATGCAGGGGACACGGGTTCGTGCCCCGGTCCGGGAAGATCCCACATGCCGCGGAGCGGCTAGGCCCGTGAGCCATGGCCGCTGGGCCTGCGTGTCCGGAGCCTGTGCTCTGCAACGGGAGAGGCCACAACAGTGAGAGGCCCGCGTATCGCAAAAAAGAAAAGAAAAAAAAAAAAAATCTTAGCTAATATATTCTAAACATATTTACCTTTTACAATCTACAAGAATTGACTTTCTCATAGTTACAGTCTTAGAAAAGGGTTTCTCCCTTTGTCACTGACGTTGATAAACCAACCCTGAGGTCCTCTCCCTACTGTTAAAGATGAATGTTTCAAATCCATTTCTCATTTTAGTAGAGATTTACATTACCTAGTCTCATGATTAAAAGAGAAAAATAAGCCATCAATGAGTTTTCTCTGAGTATCTGATTGGCAAATACTTTTTAAAGTTTCATAACAAACAGTTGTCAAATGAAAGGGTCCCAGGGTGAAGGAAGTGCAATTCTGGGGGCAATTTTATTGCGTATGACAAAAGCTTCCCCAAATTAACCCCAAAATTATACTTTTTAGGAATTTATGATGGGAGATGATCAGACAAGTGGATAAAGATACTTATAATGAGCAAAATGTGTTAACGATCTACATAACATGCAGTAAAAGGAATGGATATCATAAGTGTTGATGTATAACCGCATTTATGGATGTTGAAATATATCCTCATTATGTCATTAAGGGAAAAAGCAAGATATATCATGCAATACCACTTTTTAAAAATCTCATGTATGTGTGTGTACATGGGACAATTATTAACTCTGACCATTTCCGAGTGGGTAATAGAAAAATTACACAGGCTTTCTTTTCTCCTCTATATGTTTCTGAATTTTCTTTGTTTCATAATCAGGCAAAATTTATCTACTACGAAAAACACATAAAAACTTAAATGAGTGAAACATTTTATATTTTTTCCTTCAAAAATTTATGCACAAAACAGAACCACTAGGTTGTGCTTTTCCTCACAGGGAGCATACGTTAAGTTGTATTCTTTGAGCGCATGGTCCTTTATTCTAGAAAAAACCTCTAGGTTGAACAAAGTGAAGGCAAAAATTCAAAGTAGGGTCACCATTTACCTTTAAACCCTCTCGGCCTGGGAGTCCTGGGTACCCCGAATCCCCCGGAAACCCCTAAAATGGAACACAAAGCAACAGCAATCATCAGCAAGTGAGGGTGACAGCTTTTGCTTTTACAAAATCACAGAGAAATACTTACTAGACTCCCTTTTTCTCCTTTTTCACCATCTTTTCCGGGTTTTCCCTGTACAATAAAGATTAGAAGTGCATAAATAATAATAATAAACATGCTCTAACACCAAGGGTCTGAATCAAATCCAAGTTACTATGTTGTATGAATCCTTGGGGTGAGTTGGCCACATGCTACGGTAACAAATCATGGAAGATACAGTAAATAACTATGAACTAAAAGAGTTACAACAGTCGAAGACGACTTTTCAATATTTAAAAAAGTGGAGGTTGATTAGCTCCAAATCTTCTAAGACATCATTACATCTGGCAGCTGAGGCTACGCCAGAGAAGTTTTCTTATCGGCAAGTGAGTATTTGGCAGACGGTGCAGCACTGATTCACTTTAACGGAAGTTTCCGTGCATCGTTTCAGGGTAGAAACTGAACTGCCTCAGCTCCTGAAGGTGGGTGGGTCTCCTGTCACTGCACTCAGGGCGCGAGAGGCACCTGAGCATCTGGGCTCTGGACGGAGCCCCCAGCGGGCTTGGGAGGCGGCCGGGAAGGGTGCCTGGTGCTCTGAGCAGGAGGACAGCTGGCTTTCAGTGAGGGGCCGGCAGGGGGCGCTGTCTGGTGGGGGGAGGGGGGAGCGGGGAGGACTCATCTGAATAACAAAGGGCCTCAGCCATCGCCGGGGGCCTTTCTAATGGTGACCACCTCCTTATTCCTGCTCCCAGGGCTTCAGAAAGGCTCTTCAGCAGAGGAAAGACCCCTATAATCTCTTTCAATCTATGCTCCTATGAACCTGTGATTCTAGGAATGCAGGAGAAATGATTTCACATCAGGAATAAGAGGACTTTTTTTTTAAAAACATCTCTATCGGAGTATAATTGCTTTACAATGGTGCGTTAGCTTCTGCTGTGTAACAAAGTGAATCAGCTATATGTATACATATATCCCCATATCCCCTCCCTCTTGCGTCTCCCTCCCACCCTCCCTATCCCACCCCTCCAGGTGGTCACAAAGCACCGAGCTGATCTCCCTGTGCTCTGCGGCTGCTTCCCACTAGCTATCTATTTTACGTTTGGTAGTGTGTTTATGTCCATGCCACTCTCTCACTTCGTCCCAGCTTACCCTTCCCCCTCCCCGTGCCCTCAAGTCCATTCTCTACAGGACTTTTGAAAGCACTTACTCGGGGTCCTGGTTTTCCGGGTTCACCTTTCTCTCCAACCCCTGGCATCCCCTAAAAGACAAAAAGAGCAAGAGTTAGAGTCATTCGTATATTTAAATAAACTATTAAATTAAGTAAGCATTCCACTGAAGGTGGAACACATTACGGTCTTTTCCACAAGATGATAATGATAAACAAGATTTCAGTCCTTACCTGAAATCCAGGTTCACCCTTTTGGCCCTAAAATAAGTTTCAAAAGTGAGAAAGATTAGCACTATCTAGTGGCTATATCAGTTTTTATATGCTACATGGAACAGGTAAAAGGGAAAAAACACCTTTTCCTGATACAGTAACCAAGAAATTCACATTGGTCTGCAGCATCCACTTCCTGCCATCAACTGGATTATGGATGTAAGAAGGGCAGAGTTAATACGTCTGACCCACAGCAACTGGAGCCTCCTTTCACCCTCAGCTCTCTCCCTCCTGTGTCCCAGCCGTCCCCTCCCAACCTTGGTGCATTTAAGAAACCCTCACACAAGAGGGTCAGCCTCAAACTAGTCTCACTCCAACCCAGGTCCAGCTGCCTCTGCCCTCAAGAAGCTCACTTTTTATGGGATGGGTGGTCTATAAAAACCCGTTTTCAGGTCAGGGCGAATATAACCAGAGAAACTGAATTTTGACCCAGTCTCTCTTTATGCCTTGGAATCTGTCCACAATTAGGAAGCTGGCGTTCACTGGACAAAGTCTGTCCCACCTTCTCTCCTTTTGCAGCATACTCTCCTTTCTCTCGAACTTGAGCTTGTCCGGGGACTCCCGGGGGCCCACTGACCCCTTGATCACCCTGTTGATGCAAACATTTGGGATTAATTAGGCATAAAGGTAATTATACAGGGAAGAGAAATGCAGAGGAGGGAAAAGCCCAGAAGAGAACATCTGGTTTGAAAACGTGATTGTACTCTGTTCCAGCCCGTCCTTGCCTCAGCAGAAAATTAAGTTTCAGAAGGAAGATGGTCCACTAAGGATATAAAGCCAGGAGGAGGCTTTCCCACTCAGGGGTCACCCCATAACAACGGAACTTGAACATCTGTAGGACAGATGGATGTGTGCATATATGTACAGACCACGCGTGTAGACAGACAGCACATGTATACACGCCGGGACACATATGCTGGTCTGTCACATTTGATGGCACGGAGGAAAGGCACACCAGCCACCTAGTAGCGCCTGGGAAGAAAGGAGGTCTCTTTACGTAAACCAAAAAGAAGCATCAGGGATCTCTTCCTCAGAATCCTAACTGCTGGGTACAATGGGAAATACAGGAACCCCAGCCATCACACAACGAAGGAGGTCCAAAAACTTCAACCGCATCAACTGCAGAATCACTTTACTGTGAGGTTTATGAAAAGACTGGGTGGAGATCTGGGGTGGGAAGAGGAAGCCAGCACTCATCCACTCTGCCCGGACCTCCATTACACTTGGCAGTCGTCTACACAGGCTTGAGCGCATGGGCCCTGGGCCAGGTGCAGCCGCAATTCCAAGGATGGCCACTTGGTGCCCGTTTCGTGGGTCTGGTCCAGGGAAAGGGGTGGAGAGATCCCCAGAGCATCAGGGACCCACTGCCGGCCTCTCATCCTTTCTCAGCAGGAGGAGGCTGCCTGTTCTGGCCTGTGCATTCCTTCCTCCAAGGTTCTTTCCGCCCCAACTCTGGTACGATGGCTTTCGTCTTTACAGGGCTTAATATAATGGTTATGCTGCTAACAGCCAGGTCCTAAATTTGACCTTTTTATACTGAAGTCCGGGTCTGAGAACATTTTGATTGAATGTATGAACAGAGAAGTGGGATAAATGGCCTCCCTGCACCGGCATCTGTGCGTCAGATCCCATGTAGAGTCACCTCAGGGAATTCCAGCCTTGCCTTCAGGGAAAACACTAATAAACTGAAGAACCTTCAGAGAAGAGGGTGTGTCCATGGCTATGAGTGTCCAAGAGGAGGTCCAGAGGCAGAAACCCGATCATGCTTAGAACTGGGATTTCAACCGAGAAAACTCCCCAAAGCAAACAGCACTCACCTTGTCACCTTTCGGCCCTTGAAAACTCAAGCCCATTTGCCCCTGTTGATTAAAAAGTAGAATCCGTTATTAGCATTGTTTACTTTGTTCAAAATCACCTAACAAACATGACGTGAAATGCAACAAGGCGGTATATTTAAGGTGATAACTTCGTCTCCCAATGACATAATCCTTTCCAGAAAGTTGTGGTCACGTTGTATTCAATGTCTATAAAAAGGTTTTTTTAAGTATTATTGAAAAAGAATCCTATCAAAACCTTGTTAAAAAAGTTTAAGATTTTTTAGACTCTGGCTTTAAAAAACTAAGGAAGAGATCAATGATTCCATAACTAATGGACGGATGGAAGGAAGGATCAATAGATCAACAGACTGACAGATCAACAGATCAGTAGATTAACTGATAGGTTAGATAGACTGATGGATATGTGAATAGACAGATGATAAACATATAGATAGATAAAGAAATTATAATTTCCCAAAACTTTTTACAGAGATGTAAAAAATGAGTTACAGAAATTTCACGATAGTCTTATACCAATGTCAAAGAAAGACAAATGAAAAATAATCTTTACCTTTTCACCTGGAGGGCCAGGAGGGCCTGGGGGACCCTGCAGGAAAAAAAGCGTTTTAAGTAAATATAGTTCACAACCCTGGTAAGTTTTGAATGCTTTTCTGTACTGACCTTATCTTCAGATATCATGGTTAAGGTGATAATTTATTTGTTAAATATTTAAATATTTTTCCTGTGCTATAGAACTGTTAAACTTTGAAAGTAACCAGAAATTAGTTCAGGACAATTATTAACAGGGATGGAAACCCTTCAAAATCTTAGGGGTTGGCCTGTGGAATCCACTGATCTGAGCATCTGCTGGGCTATCAGACAGTGGATGAAACCAGCCAAACCCTTGACAAGCCTTAGCGTTTCTAGTGTGGAAACGTTTGTCCACTTTGAAAACTGCTGCGGCTCTTTAAAAGTTAAATGAATTCTTTAAGCGGGTAGATGGTATGAAGTCCCCAAAATTCCTGTGTTTGCAACAAAATTTCAGAATGCTTTTTATAATCGTGAAAAGGGAAAAACTAGTCATTCTTTCCTCATGAAAACGAGGCCGTCACGAGAATATAAAAGAGGTTACATCTTGCAGGAATGGATAGAAGAATTGCTGGATTTGAACCCTAAAAAAAGAGTAAATTTAAAAAATAAGCCTGAAAATCTCTCAAGGACTCTCAGGCAGGCTAGAGTGGGGATGGCAAACCCAGGCACATCATTCATTCCTAGTAAACGCGGCGCCCGACAAATAAGTTGCTGTTAATATTAAGCCTCTTGTGCCCCCCAAAATGTGTGAGTAGAAGGGGCTGATGCCACCCTCGTCCTCAGGGTTACCAGCTGTGAGGGACGGCTGGTGTCAGAGCAGAGCTTCCTGGGAGGTTCTCTCTGATGCTCAGTTTCTAGTATCTGTCCCAAAGACACTGCAGCTTCCTCACAGCCTGGTCTGGGGCCACAGCCCCCAACAGAGCAGGCCCTCTGCTGTGACTGCATTACCACAAGGGAAGGTCCAGGGCAGGGGCTGCCTTGTCCATCTCTGAATCCCCGCCTCACAGGATGCGCTCACATCCACGCAGCCCCACGAAAAATCAACATGTTGTCCCTGTGGGATGTCTCGGCACGAGGTACTATTAGCATATCCTCTTCCCACAGCTCTGGGGATACGTGGACCATAAGTACCAATCAAACATCCCTTCAGATAGAAGCTCAAACAGACAACTAATAAGCACCTACTGTACAGCACAGGGAACTCCACTCGATACTCTGTAATGGCCTATATGGGAAAAGAATCTAAAAAAAAGAGTGGATATACTTGTATGTATAACTGATTCACTTTGCTATACACCTGAAACTAACACAACACTGTAAATCAACCCTACTCCAATAAAAATTTTTTCAAAAAGATAGAAGCTCATTCTCACATCCAAATAAAGAGAGATCACCACTGTGTAAAGTTTTCATTCCATTTTATGTATTTTCACCCCTCACCACAGTTGTTCTCTGAATGCCTCCGAGGGATATTCCCCCCAAACTTACTGGTGGTCCAGTGAATCCCGGGGGGCCAACAGGACCTTGCAGCCCTGGCAGTCCCGGCGAACCCTATAATTCATTGAGAAAGAAAAGAATTAAAATGCAAACCAGGAGGGGACTCGGCACGTGCTCATAATTATTTAGCAAATGCTTACAGGTGCTCCTGGGGGTCCAGGAAATCCTCTTTCACCTTTCAACAGGGTCCCTGGTATATGGCCAAGTATTTCACCTGGATCCCCCTAAGGGATAAAAAATAAGATAAAGTCACAAATACTGATATTTATGTAAAGAGAATGTAAACCTATGGCGTAAGAGGCATGCACTGCTGTTGTGGAACCAGCCCAAGTCTGGGATTTAGCCTCTGACTAAGCTTGGAATAAACAGACCGGCCGTCTCCTGGGTTCATATGTCTTAATGACCAGCATTAGGGGGCTGCAACCAGGGCAGAACGTGGAGACCGCTGAACGGAAGGATGTGTGATGCTTCCATGTGACGGGCCCCTGGGCAGGAGGAGTTCTAGACAGGGGCCCGGTCTCTGGTCCAAAGGCTATGTGACCACAGGCTGTCCTCACAGCAGAAGGATTATCTTTCAAGAGAAGACCCAGCACAATCATGTTCGGAAAAGCAGTGAGAATATGTTTTAGGTGTCAACGTGACCAGGCCACAGTACCCAGATACTTGGTTACACACCACTCTGAGGTTGACGTGAAAGTACTTTTAAATAAGATGGACATTTAAATCAGTAGCTTTGAAGTAAAGCAGATGACCTTCCACGGTGGGGGGCCCACCCCGTGGGTTGAAGGCCTTAAGAGAAAAAAGACGGACTCCCGAGAGGAAGGCGGACTCTGCCTACAGACAGCCCTTGAACCCGACCATCGCTCTTCCCTGGGTCTCCAGCCTGCATCCTTGCCCCATGGATTGTGGACTTGCCAGCTCCCACAATCACGTAACTCCTTAAAATAAGGAATTTATTTTATCTCAATATATTTTAATTATGTTATATATTGAAATATATAATTAAATTAGTATATAATATAAATATTATAATATGTATTATATATATTATATCATATAAGTCAACATATAATTGATATACAATATGTATTATATAATGTGTAAAATATATTATATATATTTTAATTCTATCTCCCTCTCTCACTCACTCTATCTATCCTTATATGTGCATGCTGTATACGTATGGCACACACATAAGACACAAACATCTCCACGCATGTCCTACTGGTTTTATTTCTCTGCAGAGTCCTGTCGACAGCCACACCCGTGGCTCTGGACGAGGAGCATCGGGGACTCACATCCCATCACTAATATTTCCCATCACACCATGCTTCCCATCACTGCTTATTTCCTATGAAGAAATTGTGCCTAGCGTTGAAACTTTAGATTCTAAAATTTAAGTCTGTGTATAGGACTTAAGTACTCTTTTAATGTAGCAAAGTTTAGACAAATAGGTTACTAGGCAATCAATCGACCAAAGTGATTTAAAGTAAAGTTATTTTTATGGCATCTGTTTCAAACAGAAGTCTGGAATGAATCCAGTAAAATAAAATAACGTACCTTCATTCCAGGTAACCCTGGTGGTCCCTAGAAAAGAAAAAGTTGGTATTAGTTTTGTTTTTCTCAAAACAACATTAGCATTATGATATGAGGGCAAAAAAAAAGGAAAAGAAAGGCAATGGAATGAGAAGAGAGAAATTAGCACTGAAGAAATTCTTACATAACAGCCCAATACTCACGGGATTTCCAGCGAATCCAGGCAAACCCGGAGGCCCCATAGGCCCTCTCTCACCCTGGGGGGACAGCAGACAGTCACTCTCAAAGGCCGTGCTCCCATCCGTTACCCCATCCTACCCTTCAGGCATGCTTCATTTGTTGGTGAAAATCATTTTCTAAAAATTGTTACAAGCTCTATTGCTCAATGCTGCTTCATGATAGAAGAAATATAATATTTGAGAATTTAATTATTAGAGACAAGAATTAATCATAGCATTTTCTTATTTGCTTTAGTGATAGATTATAGGTGAGAAATTTAGCGTTTAAGGCAATTTTAGAATAAAAGTCTACTAAATAGAAAGGCACAATGATGTCTTTCCTGAACATTAAACGTGGGAAAACTGTGTTTCCTCACCAAATAAAGAAAGGTGTAAGACGAGTAACTTTCCAACTGTGGCAATTAAAACTGTGTTCACGGGACAACTTTGCCTGACTTCTCCAGGTGCAAAGTTAAATGAACACGCACCAAGCAGGGAGGCTCCCGGTTCTAAATTTACCTTCGTTCCGTTGCATCCTGGGATACCTGGGGGACCCGGAGGACCATCTTGGCCAGGAATACCCTGCAGTTAACACGGTGAACAAGTAGCCAAGTCAGAAAAATCGCTTATGTTGCCATAACTCACATCAAACATCTTATAAAGGAAGCAGGTGCCTTTTATATACATACAGGAAGTCCTGGGTTTCCAGGGTAACCAGATGCTCCTGGGGGTCCCTGTAAGGATGGAGATGAAAAAGTTTTCATTGAGTGTGGGAGAACATCATTTCCTTCCACTGGCATCCACCTGGCTGAGGATGTCGGGCCCTAATTATTGACATTTGGAACATCGGCCCTAAGCAGACAGGGAGGCATCTTAGGGTCTAGCCCAGGGAGCCAGATGGCCTGGTGTTTCAGTAGCAACTCTTCATCATCAAAAGCTGACGATTAAATACTTCTAAAATCAAGGCTGCACACCCACAAAATAACTCTGCCCTCATTTCATCCTTTGTAATTTCCAGGTGGCAGATAGACAGATAGATAGATAAATTTACATTAAAATCTCGAACAGCCTTGAAGAAAGAAAAAAAAAATCTCAAACAGTTGGGAGGCATAAATCAGTTCATTGAGGGAAGAAAATCCAAGTTATTTCTGGCTGAAATCTAGATATTCTCCATCCCAGACAGTTACAATGTTATCCCCTATCTTCTGCCCTAAAGACCCAGGAAGGCAGGTTACCGGGCACACTTCCCTTTCCACTAACAGTAACAGAATTAAAATGTTTACATCTTACAGTGTCTTCCTATTTTTCTGCTTTCAAAGGTCTCCCTGCGCGCATGTCCCAGGGACGGGAGTAGCAAAGAAAGCAGACCGTGAAAAAGGAAGAGGGAATGCAGCTCTGAACACGTTACCACTTTTCACATTAAATGAAAGACATCTTTCTTCAAAGACCTGTAGGCGTGTCATCCCCCCTCCCCCAATTAAGTACGCCTGCAGGAATCCCTGAGGAAGGAGAGAGGAGAGAAAACACGTGTACAGAGGACAAGAAGTGAGCAGCTCCAGGGGCAGGACTGGTGGTCGAGGACGCGGGTTCCACCCATCCTGGGCCCTCGTGCCCAGGACACACGCTGTCTGGGCTCCGAGCACAGACGCAGAGGGAGGGGGACACAGAGGAAGGAGGGGATAGGATGCCCCTCGGGACTGTCTGGGGGTGGGGAGGGTAAAGGGCCCTCCCTCTGGAAGCACTGCTGTATCAGATCCCGCCCACAGTTATTACCGACTTAATGACAATCGTACTCACTCTTGTCCCTTTAGTTCCTGGCAGTCCTGGTTCTCCGGTGTCACCCTGGAACAGACACACATGCCACAATGACCACTCGTCGCAAAAGCAACACAGATCATCTTAAGTCCACTCCCCCAACCCCTTGCGCCCACGACAACCAAGCTCACCTTCTGTCCGGGTGGTCCCTGCGGCCCCTCAGGTCCTTGCATTCCCGGGAACCCGATGACACCTTGTAACCCTGGGAGACCTCTTTCTCCCTGCAGAGGAGGAAAGAGCAAGTCAGACCAAGGGCAGGTGGAAGGAGAAATCAGCCTCACTCAGCATCACCCAGCAGCCAGCCTACCACGAGCATCTGAAAAGAGACACTGCCACCTACGTCCCATCTCACACCTCACTCAGCATCACCCAGCAGCCAGCCTACCAGGAGCACCTGAAAAGAGACGCTGCCACCTACGTCCCATCTCACACCTCACTCAGCATCACCCAGCAGCCAGCCTACCATGAGTATCTGAAAAGAGACGCTGCCACCTACGTCCCATCTCACAGCCTCACTCAGCATCACCCAGCAGCCAGCCTACCAGGAGCATCTGAAAAGAGACGCTGCCACCTACGTCCCATATCAGAGACTTTTCTCTGCTCTTTTTTAGCTCTTTTGAGGGCAGGGATGTTCCTGTATGATCCCTGGTCCAATGCTTTCTATATACCGTATTCTAAAGGCTAAGTAATTTGTTGGGGAAATAAAATCACGGATAGTTGGCGATTTTTTTTCACTGAATGGCTTATAACCTCATTTGTTGAGTAGAATCTTCTTGTTGTCGGCAGACACAGCGCTGAGATTCTGTGAGCAGACATCAGTCAAGGCTCCCCTTTAGGAGGTGTGTAAGCAGAGCTCACGGTGGCAGTTTCAGTGCAAGATGCTGAGACTTTTCTGTGCAATGAACAGTCTGACGATGGGTTTGCATAAGCATCTCTTAAAAAACTGGGTTTCTTTTTTTTGCAAAGGTAGACTCAAGGTTTAATTACAGTCTCTGGCCTCGAGGAGCAAAAAGAAATAAAATGTATTCTTAACGTAATGAATATTATTTAGGGTCCACACACGTGGCTGGGATTCTGGCTTTGAGATGGCCCTTGAAGAATGAAAGGAAAATGAATGTGTGAAGAGACAGGCAAAGACAATTCAGGCTGGATGTCAGAGAATGGAGATCTAGGCCATGTGAGCACAAGGCACTAAGAAGAAGAACTACAACGGGCACAAGAACGTGGAGAGATGAGGCGTTACCGTTTGATACCGGAAATAGTTTCCTCTGCAAGCATCAGTGACCCAGTGGCCTGATTAAGGATATTGAGGAAGACGGCCACACTTTTTGCCAGTATGAAATAGCCTAAAATCAGGACAGGAATTCAAGAAAATCTACAGTATGTGGACTTCGGTGCAACCTCACAATGTAAATTGGGTAGATTAAGTAAGCATCTTTAGCCAATTTTCAAAAACAGAAGACATGTC